ATTATTTATTTTTAAAGCAATTGATTAAACAATGGCAAGAAAATTTTCCTTGAACTTTTCTTGCCATTGTTCAAAGTATACCATTGTTTTTTTTTCAAAGTAATTGATTAAACAATGGCAAGAAAAATTCGCTCGAACATTTCTTGCCATTGTTTAACTCAAGTCTATTATTGTTTTTTTTAAAGCAATTGATTAAACAATAGCAAGAAAAATTCACGCGAACTTTTCTTGCTATTGTTCGAAGCATACCATTGTTTTTTTTAAAGCAATCGATTAAACAATGACAAGAAAAATTTGCGCAAACTTTTCTTGCTATTGTTCAAAATATACCATTGTTTTTTTTTAAAGCAATTGATTAAACAATGGTAAGAAAAATTCGCTTGAACTTTTCTTCTTACTATTGTTCAAAGTATATCATTGTTTTTTTTTAAAGCAATTGATTAAACAATGGCAAGAAAAGTTCGCGCGAACTTTTTTTGCCATTGTTCAAAGTATACCATTGTTTATTTTTAAAGCAATTGATTAAACAATGGCAAAGAAATATTTATTGAATAAATAAAACATAAATTTGTTAACAAGATATTCATTATCTCAATTAATTTAACGAAATTTGGCCAAAAACCAAAATTTTTACTATTATTAGACACGCAAATTTAATGATTACATATTTATATCTGTATACCTGCCGTAACGTATACCTATATGTATAAAATCGATAACATTTAACCGTAGTACCGATCACGTGTATGTTTATCGCAACTGGTTCAATTACGTCAAAAAAATTATTATTTTACTACAAAAAAAAATTTGAAATTCTCGTTTATTTATTATGAAACCAATATAAAGATTTATTGAACTCTAAAATATTAGCGATTGAAACTTAATTTTCCTTAAATTTAGGCCTTTATAAAGTTAAAAGTAAATTGACATTCCCGATCATCAAAATAAATAAAAATTTATGAAAACTTTATTCTTATAAAGATGAAAAAATGTTATTTTATTATCAGCTTGCAGTTATTACCAGTTTGCATATTTGTCTATTATATAATAATTTTTTTTATCATACATTTCAAAAAATCCAACAGTTCTATCAATACCAATTACTTTCACATATTGTAGAGGACCGAAGCAATCAAAAAATTTTAAATTTCCAATATTTTTCTCCAATTTTTTGATTTTTCAAATATATGCAAACATTCGTTCTTGATTTTGCATATTATGGAGCATGAAATATTCAACTTGTCCAAAAGTCTCCTCTTCTTGTTCATCAATAGTTAAGTTAATCTATAATAAAATTTTCTGTTTAATATTTGAATGATATTTATAATAATTATAAAATCTAATTATCAATTTCTTATAGCGACACAATAATCATTTCGACTACTATCATTTTCTTTTTTCCACCATTTAGAAGATACAATATTGCCATCTTTTGTACGAAGTTTCCCATACTTCATATAACTTTCT